CCGCGACGTCCGCCGGGCCGCGGGCCGGCGCGCCGCCGGCGCCGGCGACCTGCTGGCGCCCGCGCTGCTCGCCGCGCTCGCCGCCGCGGCCGCGGGGCCCGCCGCGGCCGCGGCCGCCGCCGCGTTCGCGGCCGCCGCCGCCGCGGCCGCCGCCGCCGCGCCGCCGCCGGCCGAGGCGCCGGACCTCGAGCGCGGCGCCGACGCGCCGCCGCCGGCCAAGACGCCCGGGGCCGCCGGCGCCGCGCGCCGCGCGGGCGCCGCGCGCCTCGTCGACGCCGCGTCTGGCGCGAGCGCCGCGCGCCTCGCGACCGCGGCGGCGGCGACGAATACGGCCGTCGCCACGACCGCCGCGGCGACGAACACGGCCGCCGCGCGCCTCGTCGACGCCGCGTCTGGCGCGAGCGCCGCGCGCCTCGCGACCGCGGCGGCGGCGACGAACACGGCCGTCGCGACGACCGCCGCGGCGACGAACACGGCCGCCGCGCGCCTCGTCGACGCCGCGTCTGGCGCGAGCGCCGCGCGCCTCGCGACCGCGGCGGCGGCGACGAACACGGCCGCCACCGCCACGACCGCCGCCGCGGCGACGAACACGGCCGTCGCCGCCACGACCGCCGCCGCGACGAACACGGCCGCCGTTCGCGTCGCGTGCTGCGGCACGAACCCGTGAGCCCCCCCCGGCCCCCGCCTGCACATAGTCCCACCCCGCTCCGAGTCGGACCCGCGGCGCTGGTCTTAGAGCACGGGCGATGTCGGGGCGCGCGGCGCGGCCTCAGGCGCGGCGCGTCGGCTTGAGCGCCTCGCGGCGGAGGATCTTGCGGAGCTTCGCGAGCGGCATGGACGTGCGCATGCCGTCGTCCCAGTCGACGGCGACCTTGGGCTTGGGCGCGTCGGCGTCCTCGACGCCGGCGACGGTGCCCTCGAAGACGCCGCAGCCGGCCCACTTCTCGAGGAACGTGGCGCCGACGAGGTCCTCGGCGCGCGCGCGCGCGTACCAGGGGACCGCGCCGTCGCCGCCCGCGCCGAGGAGGACGACGCCGTCGTCGGGGAAGCGCAGGCGCTCCTCGCGGGAGCCGTCCTCGAAGCGCACGTCGAGCGCCTGGGCGCCGGCGCCCGCGTCGGCCGCGCGCTCGACGGCGGCGGGCCAGTAGTCCGACGCGTCGAAGAGCACGGCGATGCGGTCTCCGGCGGCGACGCGGCGGCCGGGCGCGGCGTCGGCGCCGCACCCGAGGAAGTGCGACGTGTCCTCCGCGGTCGTCGCGTCGTCGTCAGAGTCGCCGTCGCCGTCGTCGCGCGCGGCCGCCGGCGCGGCGCCGCGCGGCCGCGGCGCGCCCGCGGCCGCGGCGGCCGGCGCGGCGCCGCGGCGGCGCTTCGGCTCCGGCGCCGGCGACGCGGCGGACGACGCCGACGACCGCCGCCGCGCCGCGCGGCCGCCGCCGGCGGCCTCCGCCGCCTCGAGGTCGCCGACGGCGAGGCCCCGGTCGCCGCCGTTCGCGACGACGTACTTGACGTCGAAC